TCCATACCAGTTCGGTAATAGATGAAAGCTGCAGCTGAACAGCAGCTTCATCCAAGAATGTGAATTGAGGACATCATTTTAGCATTTGGTAGGCAGTTGTCCACTTGAGAAATATCTGGCATTTTTTTGCTGTTGAACTGAATGTAGAAATGATACCTTGAATCATGAGGCTGTTTTGGCCTCATGGATGCTGACCCCAAATTTTTCATCAAGTATTAAACTACGTGAAGCTGGCTTATCTTGCTAAAATCCCACTACTGTTTCTAGTCACATTCCCATTATGTGTAGGCTTGCTGAGGATTTCCAGTGCCTTTTATCATTATTAAATCCATTTACAAAATCTGGAATAAGTAACATTATACATGGAGTTATTCTAATACCGTTCATTCAGCTCTTATCCCCGTATTTCTTGAAGGTTTTATAGCAGAGAAAATTGTCAGAGGGCTTCTTAATATGTTAAGTTGTGCAAGGAGTAACAGTTTTCACTTTTAAAGGAGCCAAAGAATTTAACACAAAATTAGTTTGCTGCTCTTAAGTTAAATTTAGTACTTGGTAAGCAACATTGTGTTTTAATATTAATATTTGGTTTGGATTTCTCTTCTATTTGAGGTAACTCTGTGTTGCTTGTTCTGGTGAGTGAGAACATACCAAGTGGCCAAGCCAGCACTGGATGATTTGGTTCTCGTGTTGTCAGCCAGTTCAGAGATGACATGTTCTTTTTCCCTCATGACGGCTTTGCTGGGTTATTGTGTGTTTTTGCCAGAGGCCATTCAGGAGGGTGTCTGATCCCCAAGTGTTGAACATGTTAACACTGACTCAATTACAGTTGATAGAGTGGGAAAGTCTGCATTTACTAAATACAAGTCTTGCCACACGTTACCAGCTCTACCCATGTGCGGACAGAGAATCAAATGAGCCCTTTTTGATTGCTTTTCAGGCTGCTGCATATCCAACAGGGTCAGAGCTTCATTAACAAGAAGAACGTTCAGCCACAGACCAAAGAGATTCAAAGAGTGTAACTAATTGATGCGTGGGGATTGTAGGTCATATCTTCATGAGGCACACAGTGATGATGCGGAATGATTTAATTCAGAACAATCGGCATGCTTCACCCACGAGCTGCCACAGTGCCCCACTAACCTACACGCTGCAGTAACCTCTACTTTGGGTATCAATACAGGACGCTGCCCTTTGGGATCCCGCAGGAGCGAGTGCTGTCAGCTGACAGATGAGAGCACAAGGCTGTGGGGCTTCGTGCTGCTGCGAGAAAGTAGGTCATGGCCAAAAGTAGCCTTGGCTGCCTTTGTGGAAGTGTGCCTGTGAGAAAGGAGTCAGTTGAGAAAAGAGCTTGCATGGGTTTTGCGTTTGTTTTTTTAGCCCTTCCTTGCTGTGGAGCAGCTGGCACTACGTGCTGTGAAATGCGTCTGCTTTCCAGTATTCTTGCATAAAATATTTTTAGAAGTGAATATGCAGCTCTTATTTCTGCTTAAGGGAAGTGGCAGATGCTTGTGGCCTTTCGATTTCGTTAAGAATTTAGAATTTTAATTAGATCAAGTGTTTTTAATAAACATCTTTTTTGCCCTTGCTTTCTTCACGGGAGATTGCCTTGAACTGGATGGTAGGTGTGTGTTGGGGAAACACAGGTTGGAAATGATTTTTGAACTTCAGCTGGGTATGCAGTATTTGAGCTCTCATGCTTTATTAATAATAGGACAGACATGAAAACAACTACTTTAACTCATCTTAGGACTCATTTGCTCCTGCTGTCTCCTCCTGTGAAGACCAGTGCCTGTTTGTGGCATAATGGTCATTTCCATGGCAACAAACTGTGTGATGGTGCTGGAAAGCTTGACTTTTAACGGAGAATAAATAAAAGCAGATTCACCCCCACACAAAATAACCTTATTTTCATGTGAAATTAATAACTTGAGAGGAAAAAAAAAGATAGAGGTTTTCTATATCATATTCTTTCATAGTTTCCTGTGTAATCTGTATGTCTTTTAAAACTGGACCTATTGGAAGTCACAGCATGCAGATTGGACTTCCTCCTTTGTCACTGCATCCTGGTCTCGGGCACAGGTGCCTTTGTAGACCATAGCAGTCCTCTGTAGCAGATCATCACCTGGTTTTGCTGTTCTGGTTCTCCAAAGATTTCATTTGACAAAACACTAAGTCCCCCTTTTGTCTTGTCATGCATCAAGACTTGTCAATCAATTTCTCAAAATATTCTTGAGGTGTTGCCCTAATTATGTTTTCCCAATATTTTCTTATATACAGTTTGCTCTGTTTCCATCTCTTTTCATAAATACATTGCACAAGCAACTTCCTTTATCAGTAGTTGGAAATTCCATCATGATTTGGTATGGGAGTGCTTGGGCACGAAGCTGTTGCCAGCTGAGCCAAAATGCAGAGCTGCTCCAAAGGGCATGCACTGACACACCAAAGTCACTTCTTGTATACAAACTTGATAGGAGGCCAGTCTGCGGCAATAAAAGGTTATAATGCTCATATACAGCACTCCTTTAAGGATGAAAACTCTACTGAAGTCTCCAAGCTTTTTGTGTGTTTCAACTCCTATATGAAAATCACTATTTCTTTATTTACTATTGATACATAAGACTGTATAAATGCTGGTCTCATTTTGGAGCAGTTGCCAGCACAAGCAGATGATGCACCATGAGTAACTGATGCTGAAAACTAACCTTTTTCCATATTATGGAAAGATGTGACCTGAAATACCATACTATTTCCCTGGGTACAGAGTGCGAGTCTGAGGACTTGGCAGCAGTTCTAACAGTACATCTCATGTTGACAGATGAAAGAATGTACTACAGCTTTTGCTGCCTTTAAAGTCTGTACAGCAGTTTAGTCTGTCTTTTCCACTAAATTTCTGTCAAGGTATAAATCTGAATCTTCGATCGTGCTAAACTGTTTCTTAGGGAACTGTTTCCATTTTTGTTTAAAGATGATTGCTTACATGTTTTGGGGATAAGTCACGTCTGCCAGGAAGATAATTTAAAGGCCTTCCTTCAAATTATCAATGTTGCCAGTGGTTTTATTTCTAAAGAAGCTTTTTCTGGAACAGAATTTTTGGGCTGTTGCACAACATGTGCACAGATGGATGCTGCTTTGTGTTAATAGTTGTTTAGGTTGAATAGATCTGTCCAGAATCATATGTTCATTTTGGCAACTCTGCTGTTTCTCTACTACTACTATGACAATTTTGTTCCTTTAGGAAGATAAATAAATGAATAAAGCTCTGCATTCACGTAAGTCATTGCAGAAGCTGCTGTTGCATTTGCTGTCTTTGTGCCCCAGCAGTGTGCAGATGTTGGGGTTTATGGATTGTTATTTGAAAATCCACTTAAGGCAAAACAGCAGCCCTGATCTTCCATCGCCTAATTAAATATAACCTAAACTGGCCTTTTTTTTTTCCCTTCCCATCTTATTCCTATTAGCCCTCATTGCTGCTCTTGCTAATAAATTAGAGAGATGGTTACCTTTGTGGCCATGAATGAGCCTGCCAGATGGCTGAAAACAGTTTGAGAACTGTCTTCTTATAAATGACTGTGTCCAGCTGTCATAACCTGTACTCTCTGATCCAAGAATATGAATTTTGATTAGGCAGAAAGAGCCCACTGACTTAGTTTCACATGATTTTGTTATCACTTTTTGTCATAATGATGGAACTGGCAGTGTCGGCACCGTGGCTGCCACATCACCACTCGTAGCTGTTTATAAAGAGCTGTCTGGGTTATAAAAACCTCCCTGATCTGTTCAGGTGAATGTTTTGAGATGAGAACCAGTTGTTTCTTTTCAAAGGCCTGTGCTGTGTGTGTTTTTAACAATCAATTTGGCAGTGAAACTGTCGCTGACAGCTGATACAATCAGAGCATTTGTTGGGGTTTCTTTATATACCTGAGATCCTGACTCAGCCTTGCAGCTTTCTGGGCTGGATTTTGTCTCTGGGTGCCCCAGTCAAGTGCTACCTGACCATCCTGGTGGGCTGTGCTGGTGGGGTGACCCCAGACATGGTGCACCCTGTCATGCCAGTGATGTGCCAAAATCCCACACTCACCCTATGAAAGGATTGGCATACGTGGGCTTCCCTGTCATGTTACTGAAGGCTCACCATTGGTTTGGGTGTGCTTGCAGCTTTAATGTCTTGGCTGTGGGGAGGGAACAGCTTGATGATCCAAAAGTGTCTGCCAGCCTGATAACTCTTCCCTCCCTGTGTCAGCTCTTCCAGAGAGAGGGCACCAGGAAGATGCCATAGACATTCTGATGAAGCCTGAGAGGGCAGGAGCTAGCTTAGTTTGCAGCATTCTCTCTGGAGTTGGAGAATGTTACCCCAACTTCAGCTGCCGTCTCAGTTCCCTCTTCTGTGAAATGGCTACCTGGGGATTAAGTGGTCAAAGACCCTTCCTGAGACTCACTTCATGACCCCAAGCACCTTTCCAGAGAATTTGTGCCTCCATTTCTTTTCATTATTGCTATTTATTCCATGGGCTCTGCTACACTTTTACAGAAGTAAAGGAAAAATTACAGTCATTTCAGAAAAGATAGTGAGATTGATTACCAAAATGGTTTGCTGGTTTTATGACTTTTATCAGAGGTCCCTTCTGAATTGTCGCTTCTCAGCAGCAGCAGTGATCTTTCCCTGTTAGCTTTTCATGTGAACTCTCAGTTTGTGCTAAGACAGCTGTGTGAGATCTTGAGCTGGTTCACTCTGTTAGCACTGTACTGTGTCAAACTGCAACGCTGTAAGTAAACGTATCCCAGCTCTCAGGCTCGGTCAGCCTTGTTTTTGTGGGGCTGCCTGTGCCTTAAACTCCCAGGGTTCTGATGCTTCAGACAACTTGCAATATCTTATTAATAAATTATGTATCATTAAAATCCTAACATTGATGTTACAGTTTCCTTTTATTTCCATGGCTAGATTTGGTTGTGATTAATTTTTTTAATGCTGCCTTTTTTTTGTTTCTTTGTTTTCTTTTTAGAAACTAGATGCCAAATCACTGATAAAGCTGAATTTTGCTAAAAACAGTGAAGGTACGTGCAGTCATTTTCTGTGGGTTTTCTTTTTATTTGCTTGTTTGTTTTTCTCTTCTTAATGAGCACTTCAGTAAATCCTGGACTGTCTTCCTCATGGTAAAGTTACCTATTTGTGTTCTCTGTCAAGTTGTAATTTGTTGGTTTTTTTTTAGTAAAATGGCTGTTTCTTGTGAGTGACATATTTACCTTGGAAGCTCCATTTCTGTTTTTCCTTACATTGAGGAGCTGTAAAGTGTTCAGCATTTTCACTTTACTGTAGCAGTTACTGCAGTAAAGTACTGTTCACTTTAAGGAAAAGTTTCAGAAAAGTCCAAATTTCTATAATATGTTATCATTTTTCTTCTACCTTACCTATGGCAGTATTTGCTGTTCACTTGCTTTTGAGCAACTTTATGCTTATAAAAAGAATTAGACTTAAATGAACACGTGGGATTTTATGAATTGTAGCACAAAAGACAGCAACCTCGAGTTTTATTTCTGCATGGTTAAAGATACAGAATCTGCCATCTGAGAGAGGATGCTAGGAATAAAAAAGAGTGGAGGTGAGTTAACCTTTTACAAGGCAGATAATGATTTCTTTGAAAAAAGAGTTGCAATGTCTTGGTGAGCATAAAATTCTGGAGTGTCTGTCTCATTATCTTACCAAAGGACTACAAGGTCTTTTCTCTAGCTGATGGTTTTCTTCTGTGCATTCCATCTGTCTCAAGAGAAGGGTGTTAACAATTTTTTGATAGTCACTGTGGCCAAAAGTCTTTGAAAGATACTGTGCTTTCCTTAAAGAAGTCCGGTTCCTATGGAGTGGAATGATTCCAGCCACACAGTTTCAGGAGCTTTTTCCTTAAAATGATTCATGCTGTGTCATTAATTGATCACGGGAAGATGCAACAAAACAGGAAGAGTAAAATGTTGTATTTCAGTCCATTGTTAATTTTTCTTTAAATCTTAACATGCAGAATGGTTGATACGTATGTTAGGATAGTCTCTGCTCACACCTGTATGATAAAAAAGGTCTTCAGATATTGCAGTTTCTTCCATTTAATGAGCCCCTCCTTAGCTGAGCATCTTCTGTCCAGAACAAGTGTGTGCCTTCAGCAGCTCTACTTTTGCTAGAACTGAAAGCATGGTGATTTGCTCTCTTTCATGCACCTGGGGTGAGGCTTTGCATTTTAGCAGCGTGTTTCTGTATCCACCAGTTGGGCCATACCCCAGTGCCACTTCCATAAATCTCTTCCTTAACTTCCTCTTGAATTTCAGTCCCTTGTGTCAATGGTTTTCCTTCAGCTCTGATGACATTAACAGAAACAGTCTTCACCTTTTACTTGCATCCGTGTGCTGGAGGTCGGAGTGCCTCCTCTTGCTGATCAGGTAATGGTAAATACTCTGTAGGTGCTTGCCTCTCCTGTCTGCAGGTGCTCGGAGCAGCCTCTGTTCTGGTCTCCCTGCTGGTTTTGATTTTCAGATGGTAATTAAGAAAAAAAGAACCAAACAGACCCAGCATATTGCAAAAGTCTCACCCAAACCCCTGGGTCTAGGAGACTGATCAAGTATTAATAACCTTCTTCTAATTGCTTTCTGCTGAGATGATCCAGACATTTTTCTTTTTCCTCGTACATTCCCTTCCATCAGTTTGCTTGTTGTTGACATGCTTAATATTTATGCTGACCCTCCTGGGAAAATTCACAGCTTGATTAGAGCAGAAGCTGGGTTCCTTATTGAATAACGTGTTCAGATTTAATGGCATTCTGCTTGCAACATTTGAATACAAAATACTCTCCTCTCCTAAAAGCACAACAGCTGCTGCGAACTTTTTTGTCAGATATAAGCTAAACTTTTATTCCTGGAAACAACGCTGAAAAGAGAGCACTGGGCACGTTACAAGATACTGGCTATCAATAGAGCTTTGATTACAACAATAACTATTATATTGCGGTAATTCATAGATATCAAGCCAGTTGGACAAAGTTCTGTGTTGGGAGAATTGAAGGCGGTAGAGTTCGAAACTGCATTTTTATTACTTGCTTTATAATTCCCTTAATGTTACTTCTTCTATTGGGCATCGAAAAATCAAAGCATGGTTAAAACACTATTGAATGTATACTGAAGTTACACTTTCTATTAAAAATGAATGTAAATACCCTTCACAGAAATAATAGAAATTGGCTATTTCAAAACAGCTGCAGGGACTTCATGTAAAATTTAGACTTCTTTCCCCTCCTTCAGGTAAATATCACTGTCCAGTGCTGTTTACTGTATTCACCAATAACTCTCATATTGTGGCCATCAAGACAACTGGAAATGTGTTTGCCTACGAGGTAGGTTCTCTGTTGCATTTCATTATTAACATTTTAGACTTGATGCATTTCATTCAAGATTACAAAACGCTCTAAAAAGATGGGTAAGTTTCAGCCTTGTTTTACAGCTAGGGAGGTGAAAGTACAAGGTGAACTGACTTCACAAATTGTTGTCCAGCTTTTGCCTTCAATATATGAAGAAGCCTACAGTATGATTTAAAAGACATTTTTAAATCCTTTTCCTAAGTTAATCTGCATGCATGGAATTCTTAGACCAAAAGGAGTAGCTTTTATACCCTCCTCAGTTGAATTAATAGGCAAATTTTCTGCTGTCTTCTTTCTGACACAGTGTCATCACCAAAACAAATTGCCTCATTTCTGTCCATATCAATGAATAAAAAGTAGTATTTTAACTGGTGCTGGGGAAAGTGCAGAGAGAATGCCTTAATGGACACTTTAACTGCATTTTTATTTGTGTTTTGTGAACACTTATGCAAACCCAGGTAGAATTCTAGTTATGACTTGTTTGCATAAGCCTTACTGTAAAAGCAAGATTTAGTCCTTTTCAGTAGCAAATAAATGCTTCAGTTAATGGATACATATCCAGTGTTGTAAGACATCTGAACACTGAAACATCTGCTTTTTGAAATCTGTTGATGAGAAATTCCAGTAGGACTTTCAGGTACTGAGAGAGGAGCAAGCTGAAACCATTGCAATCAAGGAAAATACTGGATTCATCATGGTTTTGAAAATGTGCTCTGCTTGTAGTTGAACTGTCTTTATTCCAGCTGTGAGAGCAGTCAAGATTAGGTTAAAATAGAAAGTAATTTCTGTTCCTTCTGGGAGCATGATGCTTTGATTGCTGTGGTTAAAAGGCAAAAATGAGTTTAAGAGAAGTCTTTGTTAAATGCTTGTTGATATTGTAAAATTATTGTTCAGTTTGGTACAATTTATAATACCAGGCTTCCTAAACAAGCTGTGCCAAGAGGGTCTGTTTCTCATGTAGAGTAGCATTTATCGGTTTGTTATAAGCATGGAATTAATTTATGGGCTTTTGAAGAAACTAGAAAAATATTATCACTTTTATCTGAGGAGAATAGAGGACATTTGGGTGAATAACATTCAGGCTTTTTGCAGGCAGACAGTCACAGTCATCTCACTGTATGATGTATTTGTTCATAACAACAAAGCATTTATTCCACTTGGATTGTCACTATGAAATAACATGCCTCTGCTTTGTTGAGCATCATTTAATTTTCTCAGGTGAACAGAAGCATTGCTGCAGGCTGGATGCAGCAGTAAGGGTGGACAGAGTGTGAGGGACTAATGCTGGCCTGGCACATGACGTGTCTCCCCAAGGGGGGCTGACAGAGGAGGAGATACAGAGCCCTTGTTAGAGCTGCCTGTCTTGTGCCATCTGTAAACACTTAACTCAGAAAACTGCAAGCAAGACTTCTTTTATTTTGGCAGTACTTCTGTGATGAATTTGGTTACAATGATATGCATAACTGTGGAATGTTAAAGGCTACAAAGTTCTTTTTAAAAAGAAGTAAAACCCAAAGAACAAACCATATGGAACTGTTAAGTTTTGTAGGGGTGAAAAACAAAAGCTTCTCATCTCTTAAAAACACACAGTGAAAATATTGCAGCAGCCAGTTGAAAACAAAGGGTTAAATTGTATTCTTTATTATTTTTACTTTAAGATTTTATTGGTATCACCTATTCACTTGTAATATTTATGCATTAGAATCCAATTTTTAATATCTGTGTTTTTTGCCTGGATGTTAGGCAGTTGAGCAGCTGAACATAAAACCAAAGAGCTACAAGGATCTTTTGACAGATGAGCCCTTCACTAGGCAAGACATTGTGACACTGCAGGTAAACTTTTCTCTCTGTTACATGTCTTACTCTACAGCTTTTTTGCAGGGGACGGAATGTTGCTATGTACACTGTTATGCAGTAATCTAGAATAATGGAACTGGTAAACATCATCTCTGTGTGTGACTTGGAGATGGTAGAATGGGAATAACTGTATTTTCTTTATTATTCAGGTGAGCCATGAAGATGCCATATAACTTAGAGCTTGACAAATCAGTAGAGTGACTTTTGTGTACCTTGTACATGGTGTTCAAACTGTAAATTGTAAAAACTTGTAAATTGGAGGAGAAAAAAAAACGCCCAGAAAACATCAAGGATGCCATGTAAAAATATGAATTTTGACAAACATGTTTGCAGTTGCAGTTATTTCACTGTATCCAACTGAATATAAGATCTTATGCATAATTGTAAGTTTTAGATATGAAACTACATGTAAGATCTTACATGTAAGTCTTACCTGAAAATCTGCTGTGACTCCCTGGGTTTATTGTGAGACTTAACAGAAATGCATTGCTAAAGGACTCTGTAGAGGAAAGATAAAGATATTTCCAGAATCTTCTTCAGCTTGATACAGCTGTGTCTTGTCCATGCTATCAAAACATGTTTTAGAATGTAAAGTATATAAACTTTTAGGAAGTTCACGTCATATTAGGACTGGAACTGATTGTCCATTTTACTCTTTTGAAGATGTCTGAAGGAGCCAAAGCTTCAGAATAGTTTTTTTTTTTGTAGAATGTTTTTTTAAATGTAGAGTAAAATCAGCAGCAAACCAAAGGGTTTTCTTTAAAGTGCTTGCTTAGAATGGTTTTCTTCCGAATAGACACTAATGTTGGTCTTTCAATTATTTATCAGAATTAAAATCTAAATTAAAAATGCATTGTAAATTTAAGAGTGTAAAAGATATTTATTTACAGATGAATTTTAGTACCAAAATATCAAAAACCTTTGCTTAAAAGGATGCATTTTTAAGTTTGCATGATTTAAAAATAGAGGAAAAAAGATGCAAGGATCATTATTACTGGAGTCATGAGTTAATACACATCTCATGAACAGTTCATTGCCACTAACCAAGACTAATTCAGTCTCATTTGAATAGAATAATATTTTCCATTTATGTCTAAATTTAAATAAAATGTCTCCCTCCTTCCCTACTCCCCAGTGCTAAACAGCATGTTTATAAATATTTTTCCTTTATCCCCTTGGGCTTGTGGCTGTTCAAGCTCATGCAACAAAATAAAATGTTTTTAATCCAATGGAAGCAGAAATCATCACTTTTTCAGATTGAAAGCTCCCAACAGAATGTTATTTGAATGTAACAGCATGGTTGCTGATGGATTTGGAACAGTAAAAAAAACCATGAGTGACTAAAAATGTTTCTGTGCAGCAGTATGGAAACCCAAGTTATTTTGAACAAATAATTGAAATGTGCCGTCGTTTAAAAATATTTTGGTATGTTTTGTAGGTTTGGAGATTAATGTATGTGTAAAGAGTGTGCTCCTGTTACACACCCAGCTTGCTTTTTTCATAAAAGCAAACAGATGCTATAGTCTCTTAAATCTCAGAATGCAATAGCTGGTAATTTACATGTGCCCGATCTGGATTTTTATCAATGTTTTTCATCTTCGTTCTGTTCTTGATGTGTTGGGTTTCTATCTTGCTTGGAGGAGTATGTCCATTAATGGAAATCAGTAGGTAACGATGGTTGTCCAGTTACTGGTACACTCATCCTGCCAGCTACATAGAGGTCACAGCCATATATTACCTGTACCTCTCTTACTTCCTTTTAGGATGATGTTTGTAATGTGTGAGTAGATTTGTTCTTCTTAATTAAACAGCTTATTATGGATTGGTGTTAGCTTCTGTAGTGTACAATCCTGTGGTATACTCTTCTCAAATAGGTTTAGAAATAGCAAAGATACCCCATCTTGGCATTGGCCTAGAAGAGATTTAGAACATTGGAATGCTGTTAACCAGCTAAAGTTTGACCCTTTACCCAATTAGTTTATAAATATTTCTTTCAAAGAAAGACTTTCCACAAACAGGCTAAAATGGCTTTGGGGTGTTGTTTGAGAAGTAAAAGCCATTTAATTCACTGCATAACACCAGCTGCAAACTTGCAAGTGTACTTTGATTTTCCCTATTCAAATGCTGCCCTACCCTGACTTGCTTTGTTGAGGCCAGAATGCAACCTAAAGTGGTAGGACTAGGCTGGGTATTAAAATTGCGTATGTATATGTGGTATAAGAATCTGTTGTTATTTTCTCATGCTGTTTTCTTCCTGCAAATTGTTGAAAGGCAGACCAGTGTCTCCTCTACAAGCTGTGTTGTTGACAACACTGTAGGCAGCGTGGTGGCTTTACACTGCCAAGCTCTACCACCTGTGGCTTTGTTTCTTAGCCAGAGTTCATGACTGCAATCTGTTGTGTTTCAATTTGTGGCTCTAGAGTTCTACCCTAAATCCTGCTCCTCTTAAAAACCTTTCAGTGCTGTGTTGAAGTTTATCACTTTGTTTTTTCCCATTCTCGCGTGTAAATTGAGTACTGTGGTATCTGAGAAAGCTGGAATTGATAGTGAGTTGGTGACAGTGACCCTGCTGTTTGGCAAAAAGGTAGATATAAATGAAGTTGCTGTAAAAAAACATTTTTTGCTTTGCAGATAACAGCTAAAAGGACTGTCTGTAATAGCTGTGTTTATCAATAGAAAATAGCATTTTTAGTCTGACTGTCATAGGAAGCAGATGGGCTACCTGTGTTTGGTAGTGAAATACCTGATAAATGGAAAATTTGAATAATGTATGTTTACAGATTATTTGTATCATCATTGTTTTCTTTATTGATACAGAATGGGCAGTCCCACAGCTGTTAGGGATGATCTTTTACCGGAATAGCAATTGACCTCAAACTTGACCTCTCTCTCCTAATGTATGTAATTAAAACAAACCAAAAAAATGGCTTTCCAGAAGAGAAAGAACTGCATCAAATTCTTTGTCCTGTCCTTGGTGCTAAACATCATTTAAACATAGACTGTAATCCCTCGCTGTTATCTTTCTGGTGAGCACCATCTCAGCTGGTTCCTTTGATTTGAGTGATAGTTACTGTGTCCTATTACTAATAAGATTATTTGTTAAGAAGGACAAATTATTTTGGATTTGGACCTAAAGTGAAATCACAACTTTGGTTGTTAGTAAAACTATCTTAGATCTATGATGAACTTCTCTTTGTAGAGGAATTGTGGATTCCTTTGCAAAATACTTCCTGCACTTTGATACACAGAATTTGCTTTTTTCCCTGTTGAAATGCAAATGTCCTGGGGAAGAGCATGGCAGTTTTACATCAACATATGGTGATATTATCCAGCCCCTCAGGGCAGGAGGTAAAGAATATCCTGGTGTGCAAGATAACATTACTGAAACTGGAATGTAGTTATTCAGGGAAAAAAATACCATGGATTCTGGTTTAATACCTTACTGATAAAAGCAGAAATACACATGACATTATTCCTTATGAAACCCTTCTTAGACACCAGCAGTTTTAGTATGACTGGGTATTTTTAGACTAGCCTTTTACCCTCAAGTTCAAATTCCCTTTTCACAGCTGTATGATTGTCCACAAACTCAAGTCAAGGTTTCTGTCTTCACATAATAAGATTGCATTAGATTACAAGTCAGAACTATGTGATTTTTTTTCTATCCTGTGTTTTACAGGTTTTCAGCTAGTTTTCAATCTAAATGTTCAACCTAATTTGAAGTTATCTTCCAAGTAAATTTTTTGGGGTTTGTAGTTCAGTGTAAGCTCTCAAGGTCTGCTGTCCACCATTTAATCTTTGTGACAAAATCTGGTCAACAGTATGGTAGAAATTATTATTAATTAGTGACCATGTAAATTCTGTGTGTTTCAATTGTATATGTTCCAAATTATTCATATGTAATGATGTAGAACTTACTAGCAAGCACATAAATAATCTGGATTCCCTCATATAAGAATGGGCAGGCTGAAGAAAGCACCTGCCCCAGCTCAAGATGCACAGAGAGGAGCAGGGGCACACAGTGCTTTTCTGGACATGGTGGTGGGCTCTGACAGTGCTGCAGACTTCTTTCCTATTGCAAGTGTGAGAAGGTCCTGAGGAGAGCAAAGTGAGAATGCTGCAGTACCCTGCTTTCGTATCCCATTTGGTAGGAATTGTTCAGAGGAGCTAAGAACAATTTTCGCTTTAGCCCCCTGTCAACTCCTCATCTTCCACTGTGACTTTTCAAATAGAAACCACAGTGCTCAAATTTGTGAAGATACAGCAGAAATTATTCGTGCTGTGGAAACTCTGTATAAGCCATTGCTGGGCTATCTGCCGGCAGGGGAGGAGAAATAGTGTGGCTTTGCACAGCGGCAGTGCTTGCAGGTAGAGCAGAGGCAGAGGTGATCTGTTCCTCTTCACCAGAAGAACTGCAATAAATCCCCCCAACCCTTGTGCCAGTGGTAACAGGCACAGCCTCCTGATGGTAGCTTGCTGGGAGCCTTCCCTGATAGATGCATCTTAACAAATGCATCTGCAGGAGTGGAGGGGGATTCCTGGGAGAACTAGACACACACACGCACAGAAAGTCTGGGTAGAATGCAAACAGATTTACTGCCATTAAAGGGGGGGGGGGGGGAATACTGTTACATGCTTCCTTATGTCAATTTTATTGTTTCTGTATAACCTAATCAGCCATGGACAAGACGTAGGTCCCAACAAGGTGTTAAACACCACTGGCATTTGTGGCAGGAAGCATAATTAATGAACTAAGTTGGAGGTAGCTGAGCTGCACACTGTTAATTGGTATTTTACTCTGCAGCTATTGCTTCTTTGCTCTTTGCATGACAGGTCAGAGCAGATTTCCTCTCAGTTGTGGGCGAGGGCTCTTTGAGCGCAAATCCTGCCTCAGTGCATGTGCAGAGTGGCTAAAGAAGGGGCACTCTGGGACATGGTCAGCACATGAGGGTAACAGTCCTGAAGATACTTAGGGGTGCAGTGTGGCCGACCAAATGCTAAGAGAGGAATCAGACCTCAAAAAATTTACATGGTTTAAAACTGTAAACTGTCAAAAAACAGTTTTAACCTGTTTTTTGGGGGTAGTGTATATGGTGCTTAAGAGTAAGGGAGTTTAAGTGTTTCCTGAAGTAGGTGAAACCAGAAAATGATAGGGAAAAAAACAAGTGGACTAAAACTTAAGATTGTTTTCAGAGCTCAGCTTTCAGGAGACCATCAGGTATGAGATTTTTGTAATAGTTGTGGTTGTTAGCAACACTTTGAAGTCTGTATCTGTGCCAGTGATTTGCTAAACTAAAGTTTTTGGTTTGTAACCTTAATAAGAAAAACCCTGAGATTGCTACCCAGGGCAATTTGAATACATGTTTTCAAACATCCTAAGACGAACAAAAGTAGGCCAGTTTACTCCTCATAGTTCATCTTCCTTTCTGGTTTGATGCACTTGCACACAACTTATTTCTTTAGGCCTTCAGGCTCCAGGCCTTAATCTTAACAGGATTAGGAACATCCCTGTGAGTCCAGCCTTTTTCTGACCAGGAGAAGCCATTAATTCATGAGAGACCAAGGCTTTGACAGCGTGGGTACGTTTGTCTGCCCATCCCTGTGGTGTCTTGGTCACACTGTCTGATTCTGTGCCTGGCGTCTGTTGGGGATGCAATGAGAGGAACTTGGCAGACTCATTATTAGTGTTTAGACAGTTTTCTTCCTGAAGTGATTATGTCTGAAGACCGTCTGTAGTTTTAAAATTTAAAATGCACCTCTGAAAAAATGTGTATGTTGTGTTTTAGGACTCTATAACAACAGTAAGGAAATAGTTTGTGTCTCCCACAGCACAGGTTGGCCTGGCCAGATTGTTTCTGTTCTTGGAGTGGTAGAAGCAAATGGTGTCTTGTGATTACCTTAGTATTGCACTTAGTATGTGCGCTTGTCTAATTCTAATCAAACTAATTCTAGTCAAACTTTTAGTATATCATGTTGCTGTATTTTAGGTGGAGGAAACAGTATGTCAACCGCTTGTCCTAAGTGTCCTGTGTAAGATGACGCTCAAACTTCAATTTGAGGAACCATTTTTGAGGGAAACTGGTTCTGGAGTAGCGCATGGGTTGTCTGCTTTCTCAGTGCATGGTGAGAGGCCTGCTTTGCAGAATCAGGAGCACAAGGGAAAACACTGTACATCAAACCTCTGTGGAGGTTTCCATTTGAGCTGATGGCTCACCTCAATGTGATGAAGGACCTTGTGTGGAGGACTTCTGTCTCAGTTCTGGGGTTTGGGGTTGTCTCAGGTCTCTCAGGAAGCAGACGGATGGCTATGATCTGCAAGGAGAGGGAGCTGCCCCATGGCTCCTGCTGTCCTTCATACCATGATGGATGCATTGCCTATGGAGAGGGTAGTGGTGATTTGGAGAGTCCTGAGAAATCACTTGCAGGGCAAAAGACTCTAAATATTTTTCCTGGAGCTGCTCAGTGCCTGCAATTAGGCTGTTTAAAGCAGGTAAACGTTTGATTGAACTGTGGCTGTGAAACAGCTTGAACTAATCTGATTCGTGGTACCCTGCACACAAACCACTTGGTTTCATAAGGTACTGGCAGTTGTGATGTCCTTTTTTTCTTATTAAACAATCAATAAATCAGAGGAATATAATGAAGGTATTTTCTGGTTCATCTTTACTGCTGTCTTCTGCCCTCCCTCATGTCCATGAAAAGTCAATTTCAGGAGCCAGTCTTGCCCTTCAGCTTTGCTGTGAATGGCAGATATGTAAATCCATTTGGTGCTGTTAATATTAATACACAGATAATGTTTTTTTCCTTTCCTGGAGAGGGCAGGCAGTCTGACTTCCTTTAACTTTTGGGGTGGTACTTTCATGTGCAAGGCAATGATTTTTGTGTGGGCAAGCTGCAGCTCATGATTACTGAAGGGTATTTGGGAGGAGGGCTCCCAAAGGGCTCTGTGCCTTCTGGAAACACACTAAGCCCTTTCGCCAGACTTTCTCCATGCATCTTGTTGACTGTCAAAGAACAAGGCTGAGATTATCTCTATTCATGCATACATAACTATACATGTGAGGTAATAATAAATACACCTGAGCGCTGATGTCGGAGGATACAAAAATGATTAAGAAACAGGTCCAAATTTCCTATTCCTTAGTAGTTTTACTTTAAGGTTATCCATTTCTAATGCAAGATGTTAAAGATAAAATATCTGGGGGGTTTTGGCAGTCCATGTCTTGATGAAGATCTATTGGAGGGGTATAGTGGGACAAGAAACAATAGAAAATGATTGTATAGTGGTTAGAAAAAGAGACAACAAAAAGACAGGAGGTCATCATTAAGGCTAAGAATAACGCAGCTTGATTTCATAAATGTGTTTGGGTTTACTACCAGCATTAAACTGAAAAATGCACTCTCTGGTGGAAGCATACCATTTCAGGGATGAATAAAAGGCGTAATTAGCTCATTTAATAAGTGATGGAGCTGCCAGCTCTGCCTGTTTTAACCGTTACTGTTATCAGAGATGGAATTGTCAGAACTTCTTACCAACGGTGGTGATCTGGGAAGCTTTGTTAAATCTATTTGGCATAATACTGTTCATGTCAGTGTCACAGTTTTTCACGTAATACATTGCGTTATTTTTTGCTGAAATTGGAACTATTGCTTATTATTAAGATATTATTAAGATATTTTGGTATTTTAGATTTGGAATTATTTTCTGTAAGATAGAATTTCCAAAAATGACTTGAGTGTCCTGAGCTGATGTTTTGACCTTTCTGTGCTGCAGAGGAGCTTGAGGAGGAAAGCTTGAAGTCATTGTAAGAAGAGGATTAAGGACTGTTTAATAATAGTGTAATGTAACCTAGTTTACCAGTGGACAGTCCTTGTCTCACTCTCTCTAACAAAAGGTCAAAGTTATGTAGAAAGATGCCTAGAGATAAAGACTCACACTTAATGGACTGTGTATTTTTGCTGCTTTCCTTGAGTGGTCACTCAGTAATACCACTTTTTGTTGCTTTTTAAAATTATTAATTTTTCTTTTTAAATGTAATTTTGTAAGCACAGTTTTTACTAGTAAAAAAAAAACAAAACAAAACGGTTCTGACTGCAAAGACTTGGTCTGAGATTTATTTGCCTTTTGAGATACATTACAAAAATTCAGAGAGCATGTGCACATCAGGCACACTGTTACAAATAGGAGATAGCTGATGGGAATTTGCATAGGTCTTACACCAAACCACAGAATGAAGGAAAGAATCAGGAGATTGCAGCTCCTCATTCTTTATTCTCACTAGGATACGGTGGACACAGCTTCATTCTGTTAGTAATTTCAGTAGACAAAATATGTGTAATGCTATGTATGGGAGCAAATTCCAGATCCCTAAGGAACCTTCTGTGAATGGGCTCATGCCTGATGTCAGTTGGGGTTGATTGCTTTATATTTTTTTCATCTTTCTGCTGATTGGAGAGTGTGGAAGTTATTGTCTCTCTCCTTATTTGTTTGTTATTTATTATGGTGGTGTCCGCCCTTCAGACTAGTGTGTTTTATGGAATAGGTGCCTACCAAGATGTCTCATATTTGTTTTTTTAATTACTGTTTTCAGGATCCAACAAACCTGGATAAGTTCAATGTCTCAAACTTCTTTCATGTTAAGAACAACATAAAAGTAATAGATCCAGGTAAGGAGTAATTGAAGTAAGGCTAGCTGAGCCAAATATGCAGATTCTAAAGAAGACATTATGGAATTGACAGTTTCCTGGACGGACATCCCTCAGTGGCTAGTGGTAACTTTGAAAGCTTCTTGGAAACGTGAATAACTTGTCAAAACTGTCCCTTTCACATCAAAAGGTGTTAACAGATTTTGAAGCAAAGACATGATTCTTTGAGAAATTATTAGCTGTCTCTACTGAGTGCTGTGCAAACATGGAAAGTTTTCCATATCCTTAAAGAGTAGGTAGATGAGAGACAAGGGGGGGGGGGAATATAATTTGCTGAAAGGTCCATTAGCCTTGTACCAGAACCAAGAAAAGAAAACCTGCATCTTCTCTTATTGTCTGCTAGGCTCTTTATTGAGTGTATCAACAATCTATTTCCCATCCTTCTTCCTGGAGAACAGTGGGCATCTTCCAAGCTGAACATTGATACAGATTTTTTTTTTAAAAGTCCCTGTATTATATTATTAATAAAATATAAAATACTTTTTCTTTCTAGATATCTAATTTGCTTCTGAGTTCTTTTGTGACTTTTTGTTAGCTAAATGCTTAGTAATATTTTCTGATATTAAAGTGCTGAAGGAAAAAAATCTCTTCTTTGCCCTGGTGGTTTAGAATTGTTTCTGATGAGGCCTAATTGCTGACTCTAAGCATGGTGTATTTTTCTGGGTCTATTATGCTCATCTTTGGGTTTTTCTAAAACTACTAGTTCTGCAAGCAAGTATCTCTCTTTCCATTTACCTGCTTAAAATAAGTGGGTATGATCTCAGAGATGGAATCTCTGATATGCAGCAAATAGCGGGCATAGAAAGAGAGAGAACAAGTGAAACTTGTAAAAATAAAAAAGATTAAATTAATCAAATTCTCCAGTCCAGTCACTGGCCTCCTCCTCCTCCTCCTGTATCATGGTAAAGATCTAGTCTTGGAATTGTTTGCACTACAGGCCTGGCCGTTCAGTGAAGAGACAGAAGACAGAAGTTTATATTGTACCCAATTGTATCTTGTCTTTATTGTTCTGTAAAAATTTTACAAGACTTGTGTGGACTTAGATAAATTCTAGTGGTTCCAAAGAAATTCTGGCAGTAGTTTATTAGAAGTCATTGGGTTTTTTCTTGTATTTCATCATACTGGTGTTTATTGTGCTGTATTTGAAGTGGTACTGTCACTAGTGTTACACATTGCTGTTTGTTACTGTTACTGCAGGAATAAATGTAGTTACTAGGTCTTTTTATTAAAAAAAAAATGTAGAAATAATATCAGGAAGATTTTTGTGTAACTACATATGTAATAAACTGAAAGAGAACTGCATAGAATTTTTCTTTTAACTCTGCATTATTTGACTTTTGTCTTACATAGATGAAGAAAAAGCCAAATTAGATCCATCATACTATTTGAAAAATACAAATACAGAGACCCGAGAGACTTTATTGGAGCTTTATAAGGAATTCAAAGGTGATGATATTCTAGCAGCTACTATGAAGGCTCCTGAAAAGAAGAAAGTGGATAAGCTGAATGCTGTAAGTAGATTTCATTTGTAGTTTGGCACTGATTGACTTCTTCAGGAATGACAATAGATGTTTTTCAGCTTAGAGGCCATATTGCTGTATAAATGGACACTACCCCTGCTTTCTGTTACATGGAAGTTTGTCACAGATAAGAATATGAGAATCATATTTGAATTCCTTAGAAATACATTGTATGCATCAATGCATTTCTCTTTGTTAAATCATTATAAATGATTTTAGAAATGGAGCACACTAAGAAGAAAGAATCTTTATGATGTGGTTATGATGTATATGTTGGCAGAACCTTTTTTTCCAGGTTGTAATCTCTTGCTTTGAATTTGTTTAGCATTGCTTCCTCCAATTATTGGCAGAGAGAACACACCTTAAGGGCAGTGCAAGTGAATTATTTCTGGTGTGGGCAAATATATCAGTCATCCACAGTTGCTTCTCCATTTTTCCACTGGAATGCAGGATTTTTGGTGGACTACTTTAAAGGATGTTCTTCCAGGTGCTTGTTGCTGTGTGTTCATGGTTATCAAGAGAAGCAACTCGTCTGCATCTAGATTTCCTACATCAAAGGCTGTTTGAAATTGGCAAGACAGAATATTCTTCTTTAATAATTTTGGGATGCATGTGTATTCGTGCTTTGATTACACTTACACAGAAAGGAATGGCAGTGCAGCATACACTTTTTAATAACGTTTAGTGACAGATATGCGAGTGTATGTGACCAAGGAGTAGGATCACATTTGCCCCATTTTCAGGGCATTATAGCGTTATGAGAAAACAAAAGATGCAGGGAAGAAGAAAAAAGGTGAGAAAACAATGAGCTCTACACGTGTTGGAGGGTCAGATTGTCAGCTGATGATGCGGATGGGCATAACTAAAAACTTGCATAGGATGCAGTGTAACCTTATGAATGGAGCATTAGCCTGACCTGTATTCTTTACCAGCATTGCCCCAGAGCCACTAAACTTACCTGTGGGTTTATTAGATCTTTGTAATTTACTACAAAATCCATGTGTGACTTTCATGTTTCCTTTCTGCAGGAGAGCTTCAAAGCTCAAAATAGTCATTGGGAACAATGGGATAGTGCCTCTGCACGCAGAAGGGCCGTGTGTGGGAGAGGGGATGGTTTGCTTTCCTCCGCAGAATCTCTGTGGTTCACTGGGTTTTCCTTCCACTTACTCAGCAACATTGGAGAATTTTACAGATGTCTTGCCAGCAGTACTTCTTTCATATCTCCACCTGTGGACGTACAAATACATTCTCATAATAGAATAAGCAGTAAGCCCCTTCAGCTCAGTGCATGGAAAGCCTTAACTAGTTTCATCAGAGCAAATGTTACAGGCAACAGATGGAGAATTATCGGTGCATTGTTCATTTGCTTCTTTCTGTAGGAACTAGAGCGGAAAGTCTGCCTTCAGAAGAGTAACATTTGTGTGTTTCTAGTGCTTATATAGTATCTTTAGTAGATAAATTTTATGATCTAATGTCTTTTGCATTTTCCTCTGCAAACAGGCTCACTATTCCACTGGAGCAGTAAGTGCTTCCTTCACCTCCACTGCAATGGTTCCTGAAACTACACATGAAGCAGGTATCAGAACTACCTAGATACAAACTGTTTATTTGCTTCCAATTTTAAAGTGTGCTTCCTAGCACACACAGTTATGAGGACTGAAGGAATGCATTGATAATTGGTCAGTGCTGATGCTGTGGAAATGTATTCCCTGAGTAGATATATCTTTACTTTCCACTGAGCTCATTCTGAAAATAATGGAGCAATTATGAATTAGCTTTGGTTTTGAATGGCAGTTACTTACGTTGAACTGAGATTAATGAGGTCTTTTCTATGCCTGGGAACCACAAAATGGGATATTCACTTCAGTAAGCTAGGAATGAAGTATAGTCTCTCCTTAAATAGCACACAAAATCTTGCCCATCTATTTGGCATAACCTGGTATTGGTTAGAATGACAGCAAATTTTGTGGTGATGACATTTGATTCGTTGCATTTCAAGGTTATACAAAAATGCATTTTAGTACAATAAAGTTTTTCATTTGTTCTCCAGCATAAACACAAATGTGTAGAATGTAAAATTTGAATATTGGTTAAATAGCTGAGTGTCTGGTATTCCCAGCTGAAGAGAAAGGTCTGTCTTTCGAAACTAAAATTCAGAAGTATGTAACACACTTGGCCAAAGACTGAGTAAACTGCTCAAGCTACATTCACCAAGTTCAGTTCCTTTATGTGGTGGATTACAGTGATCTGCAGGTGACTTTTGAGTGTTGAAAACATCTGACTGACTGGACATTTTGACCAAATGGAAGTGGAAACATCCTAGATTGATCCTTTGGTTTGACTTTCCAGTAATGTTTTCCATAACAGTTTCATTTGTTCTCAGAACTGGGTAGGTCCTCAAATGTCAGCAATTTGTGGTTGACAGATGACTACCTGCTTGGCTTCCAAGTTTGACAAGAAACAATTTGGTTTCAAAGTAACGGTGGTGGTTGGTAGACATCACTTGAAAATTATAGTTTGTAATATTGAATGGTTCTGTTACTTTAAAATACAGATTACACTGTTGGCTCTTGAGGAGTTGGTGGTTTTCTGTAATGGAAAGTGTTTTGCACAGAGATTAATGTGAGGTTATCATAGATGAATTGCAGTGTACATTCCCTGAAGACCCAGTACCCCAGGGGAAGAGGTCAGACAGCAGAGTCTAGCAGTTTGTTTTCTAATGATTTCTAAAGATTTATGAGTAAGCTTCCAGAGAGCTAATTATTGTCTTTTGTTTTGATACAGCTGCTATTGATGAAGATGTTGTGAGATACACATACGTGAAGAAGAAGGGCTATGTGCGACTTCACACTAATAAGGGAGACTTAAACTTGGAGCTGCACTGTGATATGGTACTGTGTGCCCATAAAATGAACCTCTTTAGATAACAGACAGAATAGGAGCTGGCAATGGAAATGTCAAAAGAAAGAAATAGTTTGTGACTGTAATAGATACAGATAAATAACTAGGTTTCAGTTGGTTTATAATGTAAATTGCAAATGTATATATATTATTTTATATATTATCCTCCTGTATGTGTAAATGTTCTCTGTGAGTAATCGGATACATTTTAGTGGACTGCTTACAGCATGTCAAAGTACCTGTTTAGACCTTCAAAGCTCTAATAGTGACCCAAACAGTGACAAGGAAGGTAGAGAAAAAAAGAAGGAAGAGCACAGGGAAGAGAGAATAACCCAAGGTTACACAGCAGGTTACTTGGCAGAACCAGGAAAAGAACCTCAGTGAAACTGAGAGCAGTCTGTCAGCTGGAGTACTTGCAGTTAAGAACTCAAGAAATGGTTAATTTGCTTCTATATCTTGAGCTTAAGGAACAAAGCAATATGAAAACCTTAGAGTATGTATTTTATTTTCTGCTGTTTCAGTTTTAAGGTTCAGGTTCTCAAACATCTTCCCTTTGCCATTAAGAGGTAGGCATTTATTTAAAAAAACAACAGACTACAGTTTATTATTGTCAGTACAGTCTGATTCTGGAGGAAATCTATGGCTCTTAAAATAATAAATATGGCAAGACTTAGGATAGACGGATGAGTTGTGGCGACACTGATGTCTCAGACATCACTGCTTGGTCGTGTGCTTGCTTGTTTGTTTGTATAACCGCAGCTATAAAAGGAAAAAAGTTTTCAGAATGGAAAGCTCAAACCTTCCGTTGTTTACTGAGATTTTTATTATAGGCCTGAAGGTAGATGTTTTAGGAAGTTGAAGGATATGAATAGGGGTTTAAATGGTAAAACTTCTGCTTGTTGTGACCCTCACAGAATTTAAGGACAGCGGTGCTGGCTGGGAGCTGGGGTGCCTGGTGTGAAATCCCAAGATGCACTGGGAGAATGCATCCTTTTTTGCCTGGAGGGAGTGGGGGGAAAGGATTAAACAGGACAAGCCTACTAGCTTTCCCTTCTTTTCTGTCACACGAGTAAGAAGCAAGATTTGTGTGTGCATCTCATGCTCATTTGTGAAAATAATATGAGAATCTCCACAGCAGCCTGTCATGCTAGTAATTCTGTAGATCCCTGTCATCCCTACAGGTGTTTTCCATGATCTTAAATAGTAACACTATATAATAAGGCAAAAAGCAGAGGATGTTAGTACAGCAATATTTGGGGGAAGCAGCAGAATGAGCAGATTGCATTGAATCATTTGTTATGCCATATGTTCTCAAACTGGCTCCCAGCTAATGCAGGCTGACTGCAGCTATTCTTATCAGCATGGGGGTTTTGGGCCACATGTGTAACCAGTGTCACTCAGTCCTGAGGACCCAGTCTCAACTGCCCATTATAAACCTCCTGTACGATATCCATTGTGTTTCCTTTTTTCCAGATGAATTCCTGTTCACCTCCCTTTCACACACACTGCTTCCTCATACACACATTTGAAGTGTGCACTATTTTACACAACCAGACCTGCATGAACACTAGCCTTTAACCATCTGTTCATTTCTTTGTGTCGATTAAATCTATGTGAATTAAACAGACCTTTGGCACTGCAGAGGGGAAAAGATATATATTTAGAATAAGTAGGAAAAACTTGCTGCTTCAAGGAGGTTTTCACAACATCCACTTTAGGTCATCATCCTGGGTCTATTAAATCACTTCTTCCGGGAGGCGCCTGTTTTTCTCCCTTTACTATATAAGGAGTTTGTGCTTCTAACTTTGGTTTTCCTGAATCACACTGAGGTTAGGCACATAAGGTAGCTCAGTGCAGACAGAGAAAATATCTTACAGAAATGTAACATACATACAGGTCACAGATCAGCACAGTGGATCTATTGAGGTTGCAAAGACAAGCATAGAAAATGGGGAAATGCCAAAATCAAACTTTTCTAAACACATCCAGTTCACCCTGTTTGTGAATATGCATGGTAATAGTCTTAATTAATCATACGCTGATTTTTTTGTTAGCTCTTCTGTCTTATTCAGTGCACAGGCTGAACCAGTTTGGGGAGCTATTTAGAACTGTGTGGTGAAATGGTTTATACATAGGGTTTGGTTTTCCTGGAAAAGTGTAAAATGTGGATCCTTGAATGCAGTCAGGAGGAACTGGACTGTATCATATGGCTCACCTAAATTAATGTTGCACAGGCTATTTGATACCTGATTTTTCAGCCTTTGTGATTTTTCATGTTGTTAGCATGGGTAGTACCTTGACTTTGCAGAAAGAAACAGAGAAACAAATTTCAGCTCAAAGCACTGTACTGGTACACATTTAGATCACCAGCAGATTTGGGACCCTTGTATTCAACCCAGAGATCAGTGCTAATTGAGTGAAGGAGAGAGCCAATAGCATTATTAGGTTGTCATTGCTATTTGAATTCAGATAAAATATATGTGATTTGGGGAATTCATACATACACTGTCTCCAGCAGTGCAATTGCAGGAGCAAGTATATGATATGTAAGCTGTATTACAGTGGTGCTTAGCTTCCCTTTTTAAAGACTGAACGCGGCCTGCCTGGTTGTTGTCTTGACCTGACCACAAGCTCCTGTTTCTAATTGCTGAGTGATATCCTGTTCTCTGCTTGTTATGGAAGCTGTGGTTGTATTTGTACAGTACTTGCAAATACATGATTGTCATATGCATTAGGAAGATTGAGGATGAAGTTGCTATATAAATGTGACGAATGCCTGTGGACTTCTAACATTCAAATTACATTTTAAAATAGTCTTACAGGTTAGATTTCAGTATACGCTTTGAAGGGAAGTCTCCTTGCTGAGGACATAACAGCAAGTGACATACTTGCTGTCTTAGAGTGTATGTCTACTGAGTCTTCAACTGTATTGTCATGCCTATGGGCTGTATTTAAGCAAAGTGTGCTTGCTGTTGTGCTCTCAGCAGTCTTCACTGCTTCTGAAGTCTGCCCTGGGTCTCTGTTTTCAGTACCTGACTTGAGCCTCTCCCTTCACAGCTCTTCTGACTCCTGTTCTTTTCTTCCCCTGTTTTTTTGTGAGCTGTCTGGCAGTGTGGATTGTTTGGAGTTCGGTCCATATGGACGCATGGAAACTTTTGTTTAAAAATAAATCTAGGGATCTTCATATACTTCATGGTGCCAATCAATAAGATTGATAGTGATGAAATTCTTCCTAGCACCAAAAACCTAATCAAAAAGTGTTTTGTATTGATCCAGGGGAGGAAATCAGTGCTGCAGTATGATTGAAGTCATCAGTTACTTGGTGACAGGATTCATTCAGAAGGAGAGCATGAAATAGGGTGAGAATCCAGATACTTTCTGTGCTTGAAATCACTTGTTCAGAAAATCAGAAAACTTCACTTAGGTTCCAGAAAGGTGATGTGTGGTTTAAATTATTGACCTGAAAAAAGGCAACAAAAAGACTTTGGAAGATAAGCTGGATGTTTTTCCACCCTTTTGAATTTGTGCCTCAAATGAGCAAAGGTACACTACTGTTCTCTCTTTGCATCGTAGCAGTGTGCTTGGTGCTCTTGCTGCCGTTTGTTTTTCTCCCTATCTTCTTACTCAGATACAGTATGTTCATCCTGATGGGGACTAATCAGGTGGCCATTTGTTAGGGATATTTTCCAGGAAGCTGAGTTCAGCTGGGCATAAGCAACATTTGTTGTATACGCTAATTGGAAACAAACTTACAAAAATTCTACTTGCCAGAAGTAGTGTTGGCGAGTACAGGAGATTTAACAGTATCCAACAAGTGTTACTCTTTTAGCTCTAGTCTTATGCATCGCCAAACAAGTAAATTATGAAGGAATAACTGATGAAAGGCAATTAATGTCACTGGATTTCTTGCATTTTATTTACTGTGATTTTTCTAGCCTTCTCAAGTTACTTTAATCAGGACGTTGCTGGGAACAGTTGTCTATATTGTCTGTGTGTGTTCTGCTGTATTGGTCACTATAGCGATGTAGTTGTACCCTGTAGATGGTGGAGCAGCCTCCTAAGGCAGGGTGGAGACTTTACCCTGTGCAAAATGTCAAATTGACTTGGATGTGGAAGTAGAAAAGCAGTGTGGTGTAATGGATGGAGTCGAGAACTAAGAGCTGGTAACCCCTGAATTCTGTGCCTTTGCCACAGACTTACTCCATAGTTTGGCTTTTGTAATTTGGTTATGGATTTTTTTTAAATCACTGGCATCCCAGTTTCTGTTTCACAATGAGCAATAAATATGGGCATAATTTTGAATTCCCAGCCATTTATCATGGATGCCTGATTGCTGGAGCGCAGCTATGCAAATAGCCTAGGCTGCCTGTTGGAATCAGCAGTCCTGCAGGAGAATAGACAGAGTAGTAAACTCCTGGTTTCTGCACTTGTGAAAGGGATTAAAACTTCCTGCCTCTGCCTCTAGGTTGCTTTGAGGCTTTCTTTAGTGCTTGTATGTTTTTTATTTGATCCTGCCATGGAAATATGTATGTATAAATATATATAAATAAATATACCAGCTCCAGAAGACCCTGTCAAAATGATGAACAGGTGGTTTGGTCACCCTTTTCTCCTTTGTGAGTTCTCTTTATCCAAGTGGTAGGGATCTGGTAGTTAAACACATGCCAATAGTGGTAATTAAATACTAATCTGTAACTGCCACAGCAGGTTTTGTCCATTTGCCTGTCTCTCTCAGGTTTAATACTTCAAGGTTTAAGGGCAAGTTGGCATAACAAAGAAGAATGTGAGATGGATTTCAAAGCTCCATCCAGCACTCCACAAATGCTTTTTGAGGTTTTAGGACCTGGCAAACTTTGCTTAATGATGATGTCTTGGCATAACTATCTGAAGAAGCCATTATTTTACTAACACTGCTGTTTTAATCTTTGAGGCCCTCTGACCTGTTAAATATGCCTGTGATCTATAAATGTGTATAGTCCAGCCCCTCTTC